ATAATAATAATAATAATAATAATAATAATAATAATAATAATAATAATAATAATAACAATAACAATAGCAATAATAAGTTGCAAACTGCAATAATTAACTGTAATAATTAATTGCTTTTTTCATACTTTGAATATTTCATAATCATCTAACAATTTTTCCACTACTTATACGGAGTATTTCTTCAAGTAACCATGAGTAATTATTCGAGTCATAAAACTGGCAATATGTATCTGTCCGAGGCATTCAGCTCTCAAAGAATATTCGTCTACCCTGCCGAAGTTTGCATGTCCAAACTTAAAATACAAATCCATTACAGGTGGTCATATTTTAATAAACCTAAAAAATTTCATTGTACAGAACACCTCCGATTATTTCACACTATACGATTCGTTAAAGATTGGAAAAAAAAAATGCTGAAATAATAACGCTTAAAATAATTAAGTCAAAACCCTTTCCGTACTCGCTCTTTATGATAGACCGAAGCACTCGGGAAGACCGAGTATTAGAAAATACCAAATAGCAACCAATCACTGGCAAAGGATATAGATGGCCTTCTCTTCCGAGGATTACTTATAAGCAAGCTGTAGACGAGTTTGGCTCTCTGTTGCAAGCAGCTAGTACCAATTTACCATCAAAACGAATGAATAAATTGTAAAGGAACCCTTGGTTGTCTCACCGGTGAAGTACTCGTGCAGTTAAATAAAAGAATACTTTTCCACAAATATTTGAAAAATATGCATTATTATGGGGGCAGTGGCTGATGCATACATAAAATGCACAGGATATCAAGTGCAAGGTGGAGGATTATTGGAAAATTCATGATGCATGTGACAAGCCGAGGGTGGGCTCTCTCTTGAAAAAAGCTGCAGATTTTTAATTTCCTTCCTGTACACACCTCTTTTTGCATTATAACTTAACCGGGAAAGAGAGGAAATTTTGCAAAGAGCCCTTGCAAACAGAACAACTTTTTTCCAAAAAAATGCTTGCTCCCATACAACTTTTGCTCCACTTTAGCATCCCCATACGTCATCAACGTAATGACAATATTTCCACAGCTGCTACACCCAACGCTCCCCCACTTTTGATCAGTTTTTACTGGCACTCCTGGAATTTGTCCCTCAACTTTTTTCCTTTGTTCTTCCGGAGGGGACAACTAAATATATTACAATTTTCCCGCTGCTTGGGTAATCATTCAGGTCACCTATTAGCACTGCCTCCCCCCCCCCCTCCAATCCCTTCGAGGTTCAGTGAATTAAATTTAGCTCTCCGGTGTTTCATCTCCTACCGCAAACGGAGGTGCGCTAGGAGTTAAACGCACAAGAGTTTTCAGAAAAACTGGACTCCGAATGCAAAATTAATAAACTTTTCCAGTCACTTTCCCTCCCTCTATATTACTATTGTTATTATTATTACTGTCACCATTATTATTATCATTATTATTATCGCTATCATTGTCAGTCTTATAATTGTCATCATTATTGTTATTATTATTACCACTGTTGCCATTATTACTACTATTACTATACTATTTCATAAATCACCCTTATAAATTATACGATCGGCGCACTTTTTCTCCTACTTCCTCTACCATCAACCCAACTACTGTACATACACTTATTCAGCCTTTCCTATTTTTTACTGATCCTGGTTTACTACTAACATAAAAATTATTCTCCAAACATGGACAACCAGTCTTCTTTTAAAAACAAATGGAACGGAAGAGCGGAGTCAATTAACGATGCGGAGCACTCAATTTCAAGAGGGAAATGTCCTGAAAAATTGAGGGTATCTCAGGAAGCTACAATATTAAAAGACAAAAACAGCGAAAATGCCTTTTCGAGGGCCCAGTGAAATTAAATTCCGTGACGCAAATGCACTTTTTGCAAGTCAAGCGAGGCAACACACCAGATTGTGTAATTAGATTCATGCATATGGACTGTGCTCACCTTCCTGCAAAGCATCGTGATTGCTGTTTGCACATCCCAGAGCTCTTCCTCGGTTTCTTTGGTCGGCAAATTCAATTCACGCAATTCATCAATCTGCAATACAATTGGTAAACTGCATCAAATTCCGCCAGAAAAAAAAAATTTACACTTCAGTTCAAATCAAATGGACCGAAGCATTATACGACTTAATGGACCGAAACATTCCTTTTCAGCAGTTACTTGAAATTTAAAATAAATATTCTCCGGATTTCTCTATTTTCTGTAGTACATTACTTCAAATTGCATAATCATTCTAAACAGAAAAAAGACTGTGATTATTATTATTTTTATTACGAATATTAATATTACTATTGCTGAGATTATTATTATTATTGTTATCATTGTTATCAGCGTTATTATTATTACTATGATTGTTATTAGTATTTTGTCAAAAATTACTGATGTTACTATATTATTCTATTTTACTAATATGGCTTTGTTTATCAGTATGTTTACTGTTCCATTATTATTTCTATCTTTATTATTACACTCACACATTTTACATGTAAAAGCCCCTTCCGGTAAATAGTACGCAAGGAATCGTCACTTCATGACAGAATTTAAATTCTCTCGAATCGAACTTTTTGTTCGCTTTGCTAATAACATTGGCCCTCCTTCTCTTTCTCTCTTCCTCTTCCACTCCCCCTCCCCTCCATGCTGCTCCCCTCATTCTGTATTAGCGCGTGTTATCCGGAAGGAAACGGACAGTCATTAAACTGGCGGCGCCCTGGTGGATATGGTATGTAAAATCTGGAGGAAAGTAATACAAATTCAGATGTTAGCAGTAAGCAACCTCCGCCGAAATGTAATTCAGGCTCCATGGGTGATAACAAATAAAATCCGGAACAATGTAATTCAAGATCGAACAATTCGAGCATAGCTCAGTTATCTGGGACTTCACTCTCACAGGTTGTCTGAGCAATCATAATTTCATATTTCGAAAATTCAATTAAATTATTAGCTCTGAGGTATATAAACAGAAAACGAAGATGAGAAGACAGCGATAACTTCAAATCTGCAAAATTGTCCAGAAATTTGCAACAAATGGAATCATCATCGAAATGTTACTTGTAAGTGAATTTGTTGCAGACGACTTCGCTGTTTCCTTTCCTCGGCGCTTAGCTCCTCCTCAGAACCGGACAGATTTTCCTCACAGATAATTTTTGGCAATTTTGGTTCCACATATCTTAAAATAAGCTGCATTGAAATCGGCAACCGATTAAAATATTTTTGACTGGAAAAGACTCAGAACATGAACACAGCAAATTACTCCGCATTTGTTCTTTGTAAGGAACGAAAGTATTTAGAAATAACCCAAATTAACCGAAATTTTTTTGCTAAACCATGTGCTGGCAACGGCACAAACTTATTCGTAAAGAATTGCTATTAGTGGAAAGAATAGATTTGGCCGAACCGGCGTATAACCAGCCCTCAACGTCCAGCGTGGAAACGCTCCGAACCAAAAACTACTAAAATGCTGAATAAACGAAGCTTGGCCGAGAACATGCACTGATATTATATCCACTTAATCCTGGGCTAGAAAACATGACAAAAGAAAATCGAGAAGTACAAACACTGGAAATAAAGAAATGAACCGGCTTTTTCGGTCCATTATGTCGTCTATAAAGTTTTCCAATGTTAAAATTAAGATCCTGTACGATTAATACAACCCAATGGACCGGAAACGTTCCTGTTCATCTGATTATTTTTTCAATACATATTTTTCTATATTTTATATATTTAAATTAATATCTTAATCGCCTGGTTCAAATTTTTGAATTTCCGGTGGCTGTTAATTTCCTCACTGACTGTCTCATAACCAGTGAGGTAATTAACAGCCACCGGAAATTCAAAAATATGAACCAGACGATAAAGATATTAGTTGAAATATATAAAATACAGAAAAATATGTATTGAAAAAAATAATCAGATGAACACAAATGTTTCCGGTTCAATAGTTACATCTGTTTCAAGCTGAACAGTTTTTTCAGACCTTAAACATCTTGAAACAGCTTTCAATTTCCAAAAGAAACAGAAAAAAAAAGCAGAAAAAACAACGGAAATATACACCTCGTTAATTATTTTTACACATCACAGTTCTAAATTTTTATACATATATATGTATATATATATATATAAGTCATAATTTCATAATTAGTAAATTTATCATTTTAAAAGAAAAAAAATCAGATCCACAGCACAACTCACAAAGTCTAGTGAAAGAAACAATTAGAAATGGAAGTAGGAAAGGAAGAGAAGAATTTAGAAAAAGAAAATATGAACCGCAACAGAAAGAGAAATGGAAGAAAAGAATTAGAAATGGATGTGTGAACGTGTGAATCGAGAATGTGGTAATATAAATTCAAAAACTTCCGTTCGCGTTTTCCCCCTAAGGTGTACACGCAGGTTTGGGAGGGGTAGGATTCAGCAGTACAGCTCTTCCTCAAAACTGGATAACTTCGGGGCAATTCCAGAAGAAAAAAAAAAGATGGGAACAAAAATGAAGGATTTAGTGGGGACAAAGCAAGAAATGAAAACGACGATAATGCTGAAGACGATGACGGCGATTGCGCACTGGCGATGGGATGGCGATGCAACAAACCTGAACACAGTGGTCAAACCATCTCAGAAACGAGAAAATCTATTTTTCTTCCACGGATCACACCGTAATCGCTGTCGACTGATGAAACAGTGCCTGTCATTTCACTACTATTACTATCGTTAACGCTGAGCTACCACTGTCATCTTTGACAGCGATGAAAAGTTGTCGTGAGTTCCGTCCAGAAGGTGCTAATCATCCCGAAGCAGCAGCTTCCCAACATAGCTGCGAAAGATCATCTGCGGATATTCCTTGGATAAGGTATCAGCCAGATTCAACTCAAATTCTTGCAAAGTATTTCGGACGGGTCGTCGATTCAGCCCCCAGAAATGGGTCTCAAAAAAAAGCAAAATTCATTTCTGGGAGGCAAAAATTCATTTCTTGGATTAAGAATGGTACGTGTATAGCTCAATATTTTTTCCTGAAATATTCCTTGTTGCTGTTGCTGCTGTTTGCACCGTTCGCGACCGTAATGGCGATGGAACCCATCCCAGGATGTTCGGATCTAAGCAATATTGCAACCGTCGATACTTTTTATAATGGCAGTTTTTGCTTCTGCAGTAGCAGTCAACCTGAAGCTACCACCAGTAATGTAAGCATCAGTTGCCTCTACGGTTCTACGTTGCAGCATTTCAGGAAAGCTCTCAAGGTTGTAGATGCAGCACACAAAACTGTCGATCAGGTTCGTTTTCAATGAAATCACGAAAGATTACGTTGATTGCTGCGTAGGCCCTTCCAGCCTGAGATTCACGTCTACAGTTAGAAATCCTAACTTTTGCTCCATATCTCTTCCACCGTGGTTTAAGTAGTCATTTCCTCCAGGGCGGTTTAAGAAGTAGCTAGTCGTTTTGCTTCTCGCAAGTACCATTCGATGATATTCAGTGAGTAACAATCTGTTAAACTCAGTGAGTATCACTTATGATATTCAGTAAGCCTTAGTCGAATGAGCAGACTGGAGGGAAATGACAAAAAAAACAAGAAAAGTTATGCAAAAAAAAAAAAAAAAA